TCTCTTAGTTCTTTAATTCACACCCCCCCAGGCCAGCATGGTACACTGGGCAGGAGACTGAAGCCTACTTCAGAGGTTTCCAATAACATTTCAGGGGTCCCTAACAAATGAATAAATTTGTTACTCTTTGTAAAATCCATCCATGTGGTGATGGGGGAATCCCATCATATTATTTTTTTCCATTAAATTTTTTGTTACATTTAAGGTATACAGTACAGTTACATTCATCATTGGGATCTTGTAACTTTGTATTATGTATTTTGGTTCTTATTTTTCCCCATGTCATATTCTACACTTGATCTTAGTCAAAAGGCCGAGAAGCGATCCCATATCATATTTTTATTACAAAACAAAATCAACCCTACAAAACAACTATAATTTGTTGATTTCTTATTCTTATTATTCTTATTATTTATTGATTTCTTATTCTTATTAATGTATTACCAAAATGCATTAAGCACTCTATAATACAATTCCAATGTTGCTGTAAACCACTGAAGAAGTTGTCACTTTGTTTCAACTTTTCACATGTGTCATTTACTCTCAAAGTGTTCCACAGTTGAGACAGCAATGGAATTTGAACTCAGGTCAATTTTTTCGCTGAAGGAGATATTTTAGTGACAATACCAGATCGCCAAACTGAAATTTTTACAACCTTTCAATAATGGCTTTTGTCCAAGATTTGCAACTTATATGCATTAGCAAAGATACTGCTTGACATCTTCCAGCACTTAACCAATAGAGAAGAAAGTACAAGCAGGATGTAAATTATATTACTGTGTTCAACTGGCTGTGGGAGTTACCCATATTTAATTGAATATGAAAAATACAGTCTTGCTAAACATTAATTAAGAAGATAATGGGGGTGCTGGTAATGAAACAAATGGGGCTATAAGGAAAATGTAAACATTGTATACTTGCATTTTCGATTCTTTTCCAACTAGGTTACTGCAAAAGTTTCTCCTGTATGCTTGTACACATTGCTCTACTCTTTGGAAATATATAGGCCAAAAATTAGAAAATACTATATTAAGAGATAATAACACTTGCTTATTTATTTTTTTACTCAGTAGCAAAAACCAAATAATCAATGCAAAAAGTGAATGAGTGATTTGAATAGATATTTTCCAAGGGATGATATGCAAGTGGACTGGACAACAAATTTATAAAAATTTCTCAGTATCACTATTCACCAAGAAAATGAAAATAAAATGCACAGTGAAGTATTAATTCATCCTAGTTATAATGGCTACTATCCAAAAGACAAAAGGTTAAAAAGTGCTGAAAATGACATGGAAAAAAGTGAACCCTTGTACACTGTTGGGAATGTAAATTATAATGTACAGTCCTTATAAAGAACAGTGTAATTTCTCTTAAAAAAAATTTAAAACCAATCACCACATGATTCAGCAGTCCCATCCTTAGGTTTGTATTCTAAGGAAATGAACTCAGTATATACAATAGACAACCACAATCCCATGATTATTGAACAACTATTCACAATACTCAAGACATGGCAACAATCTAAGTACCCAATAACTAATGAATGGATAATGAAAATGTGATATCTATCTACCTATCTAGATATCTATCTATCTATACACACAATCAAATATTATTCCGCTATAAAGAACAAAGATCTCTCTTTTGCAATAACATAGGTAAGAGTGTAGATCATTATTTTTAGTGAAGTAAGTCAGTACAAAACAAGTACTGAATTATCTCATTCTTATGTGGAATATAAAAAAAGATAAATAGCACAAGGTCCTGAGTTTTATCTCTGGCACCAAAAAGAAAAATAAATGAATAAAAAATAAAACAAAAATTAAAAAAAAAGATAAATAGAAGTAGATATAATAATAGTGTTAACAAAAGCAGGAGAGGAAGAGATTAAGGTTGGTCAAAAACAATTATTAGAGTGACGGGGGAATGCCTTTCGATAGATCTATTGTACTACGTGAAAACATTCGTTAATAACAACACACGGTATCCCTGAAAAAATGTAGAGAAAAGTGTCTGAAAATCGTGTTATGTTCATAAAAGCAATCGCCCTGTGACACATCTGTGTATTTGTTGGAATTTGTTCCACTTTATTCCATAACATGATGTTGTATAAGATAAAGACATGCACTATCAATTTAAAATTTTAAAAAATACTAAAGAACAGCAGGAAAAGGGAATGGTGAAGTGTTGTGAAGGTTGGTATCTCAGCAAGAACATAAAGAGCAAGTCACAAAGGACAGCAGCAGAGGTGGGACAGGTAGCGCAAGTCACAGAAGTGAAAGACAGAAGCAAGGTGGTCGGGAAGCTTTAACAGGAGCTGTAATTTAGTGTTTTTCCTACATAAGAATTATTATTCTCATTTTTCATACAAGAATGCTGAAGGACTGGGATGATTAATTACAGAACCCTAGATCAATTAGCTAATTAGAAGCATGGCCATGACCACAGAAATTTATCTACAATATTCATGCATGCGTGTGCCCATTTAGCTTTCCCACAACATTGAGTTAGATCTGATTTCACACAGGTGGAGTCTTTTCACAGGTAACTTAATTATATTAAATTCCGCAGCAATGATGGGGAGACCACAAAGTAATGTGGAGTCAGAAGGGAAGCAGCTTGTCCATATGTAATTTTCTCATTTTGGTAATGTTCATCACCGAGTGGCTTCTCACTTAATTTTTCTGTGACTTCTCCCTATATTTTAAAAAATTGGAAAAAAAAAACTATATTTGGAATGTTTGCTTTTATGAAGTTATTGAAGTGATCTTTAAGGGCATATTCAGAAGTGACCTTTCAGGGTATAATTCCTATATGCTTAAAGTAATTATTTTCAACAGCATCAATTTGCTAGGAGAATTTTCCTCATTCCATTTTTATGTTGCATTTGCAAAATAAAGGTTTTTGCTATTCGAGCAATCTGATTTTCAAAAGCATTCTGCACAGACTTTGATAATGACTGTTTCTGTCCTATCAATTTCAAAAAGGAGACTTTAATTTTGTTAATAATGCTAATAGTATTTTATAATACCCTCAGTCAGATGGTGATAGAATAAAATTTTATTAGAATAATTTCTACCTCTGTGATTGGGCCTTTCCATTTCCAATTGAAACTTCTGAGTTACTGAGATACACAGGCCCTTTCACTGACGGATGCACTGAAATCTCAACCTCACTTTTCAGAAATGATACAATCCTTAGCCAGAGATGATCATTTCCATCAATTAGTGGCAGAATGTTTTCCGCACATTTTAATTTAACGCAAAAATGGTTTTTATCTTTTGTAATTTATTGTCATTCTTTTTCTGAAGAATTGCCAGCTAGGTTTTACATAAACTTGCAAATTTGTCTGAAGTTGAAAACAAATATAAAACAAGCAATCAGATATACAGTAATTACTGCTCATTCATAATCTATTTTAAGTATTAAGAATTTTCTAAAAATTTGAATGTAAACTAGGATCTAGTGTATACAAGAATATGCTCCAAAATTTCCTTAGAGGTACTTAGACCAATGTCCGAGTATTATTAATGCATTAACTGATGTTTCAAGTTAACTTTTTAAAGTTTTTATTCTATTTATTTATTTATTTTTGGTACTGGAAATCAAACTCAGGGCCTTATTCTTGTGAGGAACACAGAGGAACCACTGAGTTAAATCCCTTGCCCTGAAGTGAAATTTATGAGAAAAATTTTAGGCATAAAACAGTCTGAAAAATAGATACCTGACAGAATCACCCATAATACATGGGCCAAAATTAATAGAGCAGATCAATGAAACATTTTCAGTAAGCACATTACATATTTCCATTGTCTTGATGACTCATAAATAAATTTATTAATTACTTTAAACTGATTGAAGTGTAATGATTTGAAAGCAAGCAATGAAATTGCTATTAGTTTCTGGGAATACAATCATCTATATGAGTCATTCTCAGTATTACCTATGAAATAGAATCACAGGGGAATTCAGACACCAGATAAAATACTGAATGCCAATTACATTTTAGTTTCAGATAAAGACCGAAAAGCTTTTGATTGAAATATGTCCCAATTATTGCATAGTGAAGAATCACTCATTCTTTATCTGAATATAAAGTAAAATAACTGTAATGGGGCATCCTGCATTTTTATTTGCTAAAGCTGGTAATTCTGTCTATAGTGTTTTAGCTTTTTTATTCTCAATAAAGAGTATGGTTCTATTACTTTGTATTACCTTACAGGGTGAATCTATTATGCAGATATTGAGATCACTGGGCAGCATAGAAAAAGAAAAGGAATTAAAGCATACATTATCATAAGTATTAAAGAATTATCATGACTGTTCCGTTTATGGTGAAAGTGTAAGAATTTTAGAGTATTTCTATAGTAGCAATAATAAATTAAAAATAGAAATTGTAATGGAAAAGCAAGATACAATTCAAAACATCCTGGGAAATATAAGGTAACTTTTCAAGTAGATATTCCTTTGAGGGAGGATACACAAGACAGATAATCAGGAAGAGTAATTACATTCTATTAGGACACAAATAAAAGTGTTCCATACCTCAAAGGAAAGTTATTTAACTTTTTATCCTTGTGAATTTCCAGAAGAATTACTTAAACTCTTTATAATTCTGGTAAAATTCTGTGACTAGATTATTTAGGTTTAACTGTAATTATCATGGCTTGTAGCTAGATGTTCCCCCAAAGACTGAGCTTATAGGTGAGGCTTTCAGAGGTGGTCAGATCATGGGCATGTGATACTGGATCATGTTTGTGATAACTGCATGAGCCCAATGATTAGCTTATTGTAGTAGTGGATGATGGGATTACTGAAAGGGGAAGCCCCACCCTGGGTGTGGTTGGCACTGACCAATAGGCTTGTACCCTGGGTGGAAGGAGAAGTTTCCTACCTGCCCGGCCATGGACTGCTTCTCCTCTGCCATGACACCCTGTCGTGGACTTAGCTGTCTATGGGCTGAAACCTCTACAGATTGTGAGCTAAAATAAACTTTTCTTCCTCCAACTTGTGGGTGTTGGTTATTTTGTCCTAGTAAGGAGAAAGTTAATAACACAGCTATTTTTCTGAATTGTTCTAAAATACATCTAAGACAAATATGGAAGAATAAACCTCAGATAGCTAAGTCAATCTTGAAAAAAGACATGCACGATGAAAGTATGGAGAAGCATTTTTCCTGCCAGATACTACGATAAATTATATACATAAGAAAGCTTTTGGAAAAAGCTATGGTCTATGATCATGATACTATAAGAACAGGTAACAAATCGAATAGAACAAGATAAAGCACATAAAGATAGGCATTGGCATATCTGAAAAATGTATGTATTATGAAGATAGAATTATCAGTTAATAAAGAATGGATTGTATAATAAAATTTTTGTAACCTTGTTCAAGAAGGAGAAAAATAAACTTGTATCTAAGTGGATTTCTCTGAGGTTAAAGATCTAAATATGACATAAATAACTACATGGATGATAACATTAAAAATAGCAGAAAAATAAGAGCTTAGGAAGATAATGAGTTTCACAGCATTCATATAACACCAACCATAAGATGTATGGGAAACTAAGCTATTCAGACTGATTATATCAGAAGCTAAACTATGGCAAAGTTAACAGAGAAGCAGATTGTACAAATACATTAACTGTATTTAAACTTGCCCTGAGGGCCAAGAATTTAGTTCAGTGGTTTCGTCACCTGCCTTGCAAGTGCGAGGACCTGAATTTGATCACCCTGCACAACCCCCCCTTAAAACAGAAACAAAAACAGTGTATAATTTATAAGAAATTACTACAGGACCAGGGATTTAGCTCAGTGGTACTACATCTGCCTTGCAAGCACAAGGTCCTGAGTTTGATTCCCACCACAGAAAAAAATTTACTACAAATCCCGAGTAAAAGCAAAATGAGTAGTGAAAAGAAAAAGGTAAAGGATTTCAATAGTGAAGTCAAAAAGAGAAAATGCAAATGGCTATTAAATTGATAAAACATGTTCAAATAACATGTTCAAATTTTTTAGTAATGATAGAGATGCCAATTAGAACATAAATACCAGTTATTAACCCACACATGAAAAATAGAACATTTAAATGATACACAAAATTATCACCAATATATTATTGCTCTTTTTTTTTTTTTTTTTTACCAGCGATCAAACTCCAGTCCTTGAGCTTGCGAGGCAGGCGGTGGCACCACTGAGCTAAATTCCAGGCCCTCATTGTTCCTCTTTGTTCTGAAGGAAAATTCGGCCAAAGGGCAGGGATTCAGCTCTCTGGCACTGTGTCTGCCAAACACACTCAGGATTGAACTGAGGACCTTGCATTTAAACTACACCCCTGGCCTGGAAAAGTACTTCTTAATTTCCCTTGAGCTTGCGAGGCAGGCGGTGGCACCACTGAGCTAAATTCCAGGCCCTCATTGTTCCTCTTTGTTCTGAAGGAAAATTCGGCCAAAGGGCAGGGATTCAGCTCAGTGGCACTGTGTCTGCCAAACACACTCAGGATTGAACTGAGGACCTTGCATTTAAACTACACCCCTGGCCTGGAAAAGTACTTCTTAATTTCTCCTGGTATATTCAGTTTTCCTCTGTCATTGTTAGGTTTTGTCTTTTTCACTTTTTCTCTGTCTCCCGCTTTTCACCTTGTTCCCAGTCTTCATCCTTTCTCGTGTCACTGCCTGCTTTAATGAAACTAGATATTTTGGTGCTGTGGGTAAACATATTGAGATAAGCTACAATATTTCTCTCCTGGACTACAATATAATTGTAGCTAGGACATAAGGGCAGAATTGCAGTGAATACATACTTAAGACAATTAGTACAATTCTGCATCTGTATTTTTCCTTGGTAAAATACATGTTTCACTGAAAAATTCTGGTTATGGAAATGTTTCATTATTTGCATTAAAAATGTATGGGCTACCTATAAGAAAGCATGACAATAGTACTATACATTTCAATATCAATCTATGATTTTTCTTCAGTTTAGAATGAAATTTAAAACATACCAATGATTGCAGGGTAACATCAGCAAGAGTCTTAAAAATTAATATTTTTGCCTACTGTTTTGACTTATAGTCAGGTAGATTAAGTTTTTGGGGAGTACGTTTTGTTGTTAGTCAATAACACAGTATTCCTCTAAGGCAGAAAGTTATTATTGTAAGTATTTATAATTAAAGAAATTAAGACATTGTTAATCAAGGACAATCAAGTATGCTTGATCAGATCTAATTAAACATAAGAATAGAGAGAAATACATATTAATGTCATCTACAAAAATGTTCAAAGAAGAAACATTATTTTACTTATCATTATAGTTGATTTTATTTTTATAACATTAAAATTAATATATTCTTTATCTGTAAGAGTTTGCAGGTAAGAGGAGGGGATTTAGTTCAGTGGTTCTGTCAACTGTCCCACAAGCGTAAGGTCCTAAGTTCTATCTCCCTTACCAAAAAAAAGAATTTGCAGGTAAATAAAAGAATGCAATTATGAATACATCTCAGTTCTCTTTATTTATGTCTCCTTTTCTTAAATATTTGAGTTTTATGGATATAGGAAGAGATTTTGAGTTTATTTATATTTGCATATATTCAATACTTTCTTCATCTTTATATTAATATTCTTTTTCTGCTTTTGTGTTTCAATTAAATAGTACATTTTCCATCTCAATAACTAAAGCACTTAAAATTACTTAAATCTTTTTTCTTAACTGTTTGGCTCCTGTGATTTTTCTGTCTTCTTTACTAAATTTGCAACAGTTGCATTGTGTTTAGCACCACTGAGGATGTCATCTGTCCAAAATTGACACTCTTCCAAAACTGGAGACTGTGCCACAGTACAAAAATCGAACAGCTACCCTTTCACAAATGAAGAGAAAAGTTAAATGTCAGCAACACACTGGACAGAGAAACCATTAGACCAACTGGCCTTTTAACATACATTATTCCCATGGTGCTTTTAAAAAATAATTATGCCATTATGTGCTTTTAGCCTTCTACTATGCCATAATTGTCTCTCATGTCCAATCATTAATTAAAATAATTTTTTAAGAGTAGAGAACTAAAATAAGAAATTTGAATCTGGAAAGGGTTCCTTCAGAAATATAACAAGACTAATTTAGAAGTCTTTCTCTTTCACTAGCACTGTGTCAAATCTGAATATATATTAGAAGACGTAATGTAATAAGAGTCCTAAAGGTTTTCTTGGAAAAATATACAATGTAAAGTTAAAGTACTTTCCACAGAATAATATTCATTTACAAAAGAGCTCTTCTGTTTTTACAGAATAAACAAAACAAATTGTAAGAAAACATATGAGATATGAACAAAAGTACAATGTAATGTAGTGAATCTATAAATTTAAAAAAATATTGTAGTAAAGACACTTACCATAAAACCCCACAAAATTCTCCGGGTTTGTTTCCAATACACTCATGCCACCATCCTTGTTACTTTCTGAAGTAGTCCTGGAAGTCCTCTTCCTTTTGTATCTTTAGTTGTGCCATCACGGCCATCTCAATGTCATTTATTAATTAAAAACATTTGTCTTTCACAGTCATTTTAACATTGAGGAAGAGCCAGAAACCACACAGTGCCAGATCTGCTCCATGAACAAAGTGGATGAGTACACGTGGTAGTATTTTATGAGCCTGCCTTTCGATTGGAAGGCACTTGGCAGCAGTGGGCCCTGTATTTTTAAATCACACTTTCTACATTTAGATTTCATTTTTTCTTATTGTCAAATATTATAAAATATACAAAGTTATTATCAAGAAAGAAGTTAATTTTGTTAGTGAGATAAAACAATGACAAAATAATAAAAATGTATAGATGCCTTCAAAAGTTTCATTTTACAGAAATAAGTATTTTCTCGGCTCATATTGTAGTGAAATGAGGCAGATAATGTCAAACGTATGAGTAAAATAAAGTGTATGCTATATGGTGATGAGTGTTATAAAAAAATAAAAGAAAGAAAAGAAAAACAAGTTGCCTAGAGTAGCAAAAAAGAGCTTCTCTAACTCCTATGTCAGTTGAATAAAGATCCTGTGGCCCTGAGTGTAATCCACATGGATGAGAGGAGCAAAGAATTCCCTGAAGAGGAAAAATGGGTCAGAAGCATCCCAGGTGGGATCCCAGCACACCAAGGAAATGGCTGTGAGCAAGTGAACGAGTCAGAAAGGTATAGATATCTGTGGAGTGAGACAGGTGATCTTGTCTCCCTCATAAACTACTCTAAATTCTTTGACATTTGCTTTGAGTGAAACAAGGTCCACTACAGGATTTCATGTTCTATCATTTCACTTTTGTGTGTGTGTGTGTGTGTCTGTGTGTGGTACCGGGGATGGAACTCGGGTCCTTGCGCTTGCGAGGCAGGCCACTGAACCGCTGAGCTAAATCCCGGGCCTAACACTTCACTTTTAACTGAACCTATTTTTCTGCAATATGGGAAAGCAGACTGAAGTGTGTCAAGGACAGAGGCAGGGAAACTGGTTACCAATCATTTACAGTAGTCTGTGAAAGAGAGATTGATCCTGTGTATCGAAGAAGTAGTGGAGGTGGGGAAGACTGGTAGGAGTTTGTCTATATTTTGAATGTCACTACCAGATTTTCTGGAAGTTGGTCAGGTCACTGGAAGTATGACCTAGAAGGGTATAGCTTGCCCTGTTTCTTTCCCCCTGCCTCAGCTTCCTGGTCACCATGCGGTAAACAGCTTGCTCTGCCACCAACCCCCGTCACCATCACACTCTGCCTCACTAGGAGCCCATACGAACAGAGACGGTCCACCTTGCACTGAAACCTTTGAAACTGTGAACCCAAATCATCCTTTCTTCCTCTAAGATGATTTTCTAAGTTATGTTGTCGCAGCAACAAAAAGGCAACTAACTACATACAATGCAGCTGAGGTGTACAGCAGGCTGTATACCACGTAGGTTTGTGGAAGCTGACTGCGACGTTTGCACACTGATGGGATTGCCTAGCGACGTACCTCTGGGACCACAGCTCCATTGTGAAGTGACACATAACTATGATTAGCTTTCCAGGGAGTCACACAGCAAAATCTGTCCAGGAACAGTTTCAAAATGACATCTTGGAAACAAGGAACTGAAGAGATTGAGCAATTTGGCTGTTAAGGGAAGGAAATGTAGGGGATACAAAATAAAGAGATAACTAGAATTGAAGTAAAAAAGGACTGAAATGATCATCAGTATTTCATTCCATTCGATTCCCAAACCTTAATTAGAGCACTGTTAGGACTAAATTACCGTGTCTAAATCATTATTTGATAAATTTATATTTACTTCAGTGATAAGCATCTTAAACTTTAAAAGTGTATAATAGTTTTTAGTATTTCCCATGAATTCTTTGTTTCAACGTAGGCCAATAAATGTGACGTAATAAGCTATGAAATAGAAGCACAGGTCAGGTGATGCTGATTCAATGTCTCTCTGGTATTTTGCAAAAGAAACTGCATCAAGACGTACACATACCCATGATGATATTTCCTGGGATTGCCTAAAGACATATTTTGCATTGTTGCAAATGCATTTGCTTTATGCTCGAATCATCTTTAAAGTTTTATGCTTGATATAAATATAGTCAAGTGAAAACAATATGAATAGTAGACATAGTGAGATGGGTTTCTTAAATCCAGTAAATTATTTCTATTGAGTTTTATATATATCAAACATTACACTTTCATAGAGCTTTCTTCAGATATGTAAAGCTACAAGAAAATACACTCATTTCATTTCTTATGCATCCTTTTATTTTCCATGAGTATTATCACAGATCAAAATAAAATGTAAACAACTTCACACACTTGCTTTGGTATTATCATCCAAAAGAAGAAGTGAGAACAAGGACTCTCATTAACCATTATTTTAGAGAAGCCAAATTGAAAAATGAAGATTTTTCACAATGAAGATATTCTTGATGGCAAAGAAAAATCACTGTGAAGTCTATGTTTAGTTTTACTTGAAGTTTCAGTTGCAATTTTGAATGAAGTGTAGACAAAATGTTGTTATGAAAGTAGTTTACACCATCACCAAACATGCAATGAATTTATAACATTTCTTAGTGTGAAAAACACAGTATCCTGTTACTTTAACAGCACAATTAGCCAGAACATAATAAGTAGTTTTTAAGGAAACTTGGCAATGATGAGTTAAATTTTATAACTGCAATTGAACGCATGTTTAACTGCAGTGTTATATTTTCTTTTTGGAAGTGGGGATCAAACTTGGGCCCTTGCACTTGTGAGGCAGATGGCACAACCACTGAGCCAGCCTTGTCATTTTATATTTTCTACAAAATATGAGAAGCAGTTGATGTACTGTTACAATATTGTCACTTAGGAATGAGTCTTGATCTTATTAAGAATAACATTAAACCATTTTAAGGTATGTGTAACAATTCAATTAAATGAAACTGACTTACTTTAATTCTAATTCCATTTGACTCAGCTGAAATTGTCAAACATGATGCAAAGATATGGTTTGGATAAGAGATGAAAAATTAGAGGTGATGCTTTCAAGATGGTCAACATCTAGAAGCGACGCTATTGCCAACAAATGATATATATTAAAATCAGTATAAATGTTTACTTGAACAGATTCGAGGATTCAGAAGCTATCTGTTATTTGAGATGCATACTAATGCTTTTAAAAAAAAGAACTGTATTCATATACATGAATTAAGGAGTTAGCCCTGTTTCTCCCTTAATGGAGGCTGTCCTCTCAATTTTTTGATTTAAAGAACTCTTGGTTAAGGGGACAAATACTCAACTGCTTAGAATTTTAATTGTGACTAATTTTGTTGCTGTTGTTATTACCAAGGATTGAACTCAGGACTGTGTGCTTGAAAGGCAGACATCTGCACCACTGAGCTAAATCACTGGCCCTGTGACTAACTCTTAATAGTAAAATAAGATTACCAACTTGTCCTTCTTGAAAACATTTCTTTATTAATATTTGAGTTATTTTATTTATTTGATATATAAATATGTATAATACCATATATTTTATGCTTTACTTAATTTTTAAAAATCATCTTGAGTAGGATTGCACTTTGGTACCGGGGATTAAATTCAGGATCTTGCACTTTTGAGGCAGGCATGGTACCACTGAGCTAAATCCCCAGCCTGTTAGTATCATTTCTATATTGTCTTCATTTACTTAGTGTTAAATACACACAAATTTTACACAATGAATGGAGGAGTGTTCCCTTCTTCCTCTTTACAGTTCATTTCTTAAAGACTTTATGTTTTAGAGCAATTTTAGAATTACAGTAAGTTTGAGTTGAGGATACAGATTTCCAACAGTATTCTTCCCCTACACCAATACAGCTTCATTCATTTTCGTTTTCCCACAGCAGAGTGCTATGCTTGTTAAAAACCAGTGAACCTATTTTGACATATCACAATCCAAAGTCCATGGTCTATATTAGACTTGTACATTCCATGGGTTTAGACAAATACATAATGACATCTGCCCCCCATTCTAGTATTATATAGAAAATATATACTTTGCCAATACACGTTTTCATCCTTCCTTCCCTCCTAACTCTTGACTACCACAGATCTTTTAAATATCTCCATATTTTTGCCTTTCCCAAAATGAATGTGGTCTTTCTAGACTGGATTCTTTCACATACTAATATACATTTAAGGTTCCTCCACTTTCATAGCTTGCTAAATCATATCTTTTTTTGTTTTTCCCTTGGTACTGGGGATCAAACTTGGGATCTTGGGCTTGCACAGCAGACAGAAGCATCACTGAGCTAAATCCCTGGCCCTAGATCATATCTTTTTAGTGGATACTATCCCATTTTCTATATGAACCACAATTTATTCATTCACAAACTCAACAGTATCTTAGGGGACTCCAAGTTTGATTATGAATAGATCTAATATATACATTCTTGTGTAGCTTTTTGTAAAGATACAGTTTCAACTCCTGTGAATAAATACCAAGGAGTTTGTAGGTGGATTATAGTAAGAGTATGTTTAGTTTTGTGGGAAACTAATCAAATCATTTTCCAAAGTGTCTACCACTTTACATTCTCACAGAAAGAGGGTTCCTGTTATTCCACATTTTGGCGTCATTTAATACGGTCAGTCTCTTGGATTTGGAGTCTTCTAATTGTTGTATTAACTAATTTTAATGCACATTTTCATGATATGCCATGTGAATAATCTGTTTATATGTTTATTTGTCATTGGTTTATCTTATTTGGTGGGGTGTCTGTTAATGTCTTTGGTTCATATTTCAATCAGCTTGATTTCTTTTTTTCCCTGATGTATCTTTGATAGAAGATACCAACACCTTCATGAAGAGAAGACTCAGGTTAGTGGTAGCTCTGAGTTATAAACCTGAAATAATTTATGTCACAATGTGATAAAAAGAAGTTTTTAAAATAGCAATTCCTACAAAGCAACTAAAGTTGTGGATGTCCTAGTCTTGTAGGAAGAATTTTAAAGAATTGGT